CCAAGAGGTACTGTACTGAAGCGACAGATTCTAGACCGGCTTTGAGGTCCTTATCTGGTAATAGTGGTGTTCCAGGGTTCATATACAGTGCTCTTGTCGCGAGTCATAAGTTTATAGCTTATACTGAAACGAATAATCAACCAACAAACTGCAGTAAAGCACAGGGATGAGCTCGACATCTCTCTGGAGGCAAGTGCACGGGAGTAATAAGCCTTGTTGAAGTTAACTCAACAGAAACAGGTAATCGCTGATGGCACTGAAAACACAACTCTTCTAAAAGACTAAAAGGTCAAATAAGATCCACAATATTTCCTATCAATTGGACATACTTCTGCAAGTTCTGTTAACAGCTCACACATTCTAACCAACAGAGCGAGTGACAGCATTATCACCGGCATAGATGAAATAGATAAATCCCATCGGAAGGATTAGCAGAATGAATATGGATAGCATCAGCCATGGAACTTGTCCTTATTCCACCAAAGAAAAGACGTATATAGCGCATTTAAAGTAAACTAGCCATAATGACGCATAAAAGCTGCCTACTGCAACTACAACTGCAACAGATGATGCGTCTAGCAAGCTAATAGCAGAAGCAACCGAGTTACATACGAAGGAGTATCGTAGGAGTGCTGATTGACCGGCTGTTCCATGGCTGGAATAACCCATCTTTGGGAATGTAGTGACCACCAATCGCATAATAGCAAAGGCCGTTTACACACAATGTGTATGATTCGATTACACTTCGGAGCAAAGTCAAGGGCCAGGTCCAAAAAGAGACAATGTCACAGCAGATGAAGCTGAAGAGGCTGTTTCTAGAAGATGCTGTAAACTCATCAAAAGTATCAGAGTGAGCTCCAGTATACTTGTTCTGGATCCAGGTGATGGCATCCGAAGGCTCTGCAACTTTCAACTACTCGATGTGGCCAGCTTACACAGCATATACTTCTAAAATGTTCAACCTTGTCGCTTCAATCTGCTGATACAATGTCCAGATATAGGCATTCAATCAGCCCTGACGGACCAAGAGGCCGCTTCACCACCATTGAAAATATGCTGAATGTAAACTTACACCAAGGGGATGACAACTCCAGCAAGACACGCAATGTTTCACTGCTGATAATCCAACTTTTGTCATATTACTACTAAAACGTCTCGAAAACTAAACAACCATTTCATTCAACACAGCAACTAACTTCACGGGGTTTCCTTTGCCTCAGACTTACCAAATATCAGTTTTGCTATATGCCATAGCTCCCTTCTTGCTTCTACAAGCGGATAGACGATGACAAACCCAAACGAAGCAAATAACCAAATGTACATCACCACGCAGACAAACGTGAGGAACCCGACTGAGAAGATATAGTTTGTACAACTCAGAGGTATTGGGATGATGAAAATAAACACACTCAGGAGAACAATAGAGGCAATTGTGAATCTTTTGTACTGCGAGTCAAGCAGTTTAAAATCGAGTTCCTGTTCTTTAGGAAGTGCATCGTGATCATCAGATAAACTTGATTGAGGCTCTTGAAACGTGGTGATGCCCACCTCTTTCTTGGATTCGTATTCCAGTTCTTCAGCAGAGTTCTCCTCCTCTCCCAATGTGCTGTTTTGATGGATATGCTCGGACAGAATGGTTCTATTTCTTGTTAGATTGAAGTCAAAGTTTGCTGGTTTGATCAGACCAGAGACTATAGCAATGACACCTCCGAGAACAATCGCAGCAACGTTTCCAGCAAAAGCGACCCATCTTGTCGACAAAGTATCGACGTTGATCTCACCTTCGAGACCACGACATGTTACCAGCCACACAACCAATGCAAGGAACAAGCCACCAATAGACCCACCTACGGCTCCAACGGTGTTGAGGTCCTTCCACAAGAATGATAGGGCAATAGGGAAAACACCAGAAGCAGTTGACACACCGAGGAAGTTAAACAGCCAGCCCATAGAAATACCAATCTTGTGGAACACAGATGCCAATGCTGAGGCGTATACGAACCAAAGGAAGACTCCCACTCTTGCTGCATTGACGACCTGGCCTGGTCTAGCATCAGGCTTAATGTACTTCTTGTAAACATCATAAGAGATCAGAGTGGAAGAAGCAATGAGCTCACCAGAGAAAGATGAAGTAACAGAAAGGAAAACCATAAGTAGAATCAGCGTAGAGCCAGCCTTACCAAGGAGGTACTGGGCAGCTGCTACTGCAGCCAGTCCACCGTTGACGTCGGCCGTGGACAGCACAGGGAAGTCTGAGTAGACAGAGAGGGCTCTTGCAGCAAGACCAAGTGTTAGTCCCATGGTGAATGGGATGATGAACCAACAGCAGGCAGCAGTGAAGTAAGACGATGAAATAGATTTATCCCTAGAGGCAACAGCACGAGACCAGTATGCTTGGTCACAGTTCACGAGACCAAACCCGGTGATGACTGATTGCACGGCAAAGATGGCACCGTCTTTGGACTGGTAGGTGAGATACGAGCCCTGGTAGTTACCACTGATTGGTGATACTTCAGCAACCTTGGTCAGAAGCTCCACCATCTTACCTGGTGACCCAATTTTGGAAGAGTCACCAGCATAAACGACATAGGCGAAGATCATGATGAAGATGAGGAGGATGAACGTATGGATGGCATCTGCGATGAAAGTTGCTCTCAAGCCACCAAAGAACACATAGATTGCACACACGAATGAGATCAGCCAAATGGAGGCGTAGTAGTCGACTCCACTGACAGCAGAAACCACGGATGAGCCACCAAGGAGAATACAGGCAGAAACAACCGAGTTACATACAAAGGCACACCATAGGAACGCTAGGTGACCGGCTGTTCCATACCTGAAATAACCCATCTCCGGGAATGTCGTGACAAGGTTGGCATTTGCCTTGACCTTTGCAGCGATGATTGAAAACACACCAACCTGTGCAAGACCACCGATGGCGTAGTAGTAGGAGCCGTTGATGCCCAAATTGTAGGATTCGGTTGCACTTTGGAGCAAGGTCAAGGACCAGGTCCAAGAAGAGACAATTCCACAGCAGATTAAGCCGAAGGGGACGTTTCTCGAGGAGGCTGTGAACTCATCAACAGTATCAGAGTGAGTTCGAGTATACTTGTTCTGGATCCAGGTGATGACATTCATCAGCACTGCGAAGAACAGACCCAGGCCTATGATGACCGCATATCCAGCACCCTGTGGCAGATCAGCCTGTAGTGCCATTTCCCTTAGTGTTGGTTTCCTGAGCTGTTGGCTGCTCTTCTTCAAAAGCATCCATTCGAGAGGTATTTATATACATCAAAGATGGGCTATCATT